ACACGCAAACACGTTTCATTGCCTGCATATCAGAATCTGCGTCTAAAGGCTTTGTTCAGTCCTTGTAATACTAATTCTTTCAAATTAGAGAAGACTTGGTGACTCGACCTGCCCAAAGTTTTAGGTAGAGAGCGTTTGGAGGAGCTGCAGAAACGTCTATTTATCTCCTGAGAAGGGTCGCTGAGGGAGTAACTGCCACAACATTGTTTGATATACTTTTTGACACATTGAAGCTGCTGATGTATCTAACAGGAGAGGAATGTGAAGCTGGGCAAAGAATAGGACATTGCTTTTTTTTTTTGGTGATTTGCAGTTTGAAGCGTTTGCGTTTTTGTACATTTGGTAAACGCAGACGTTAAGAGTCTTTTGTGTTAGGATACATGTAGAGAGGGACAGGAGTGAAGAAACTGCCCGAAAAGTTTTGTACATTGATTGGCCATCGTGTCTTTTTTTTTTTTTTTTTGGGTTTATTTAATTCTTTGAAATAGGGTGTTTCAATTGTTTCCATCATATTCTTATGATTCTTCCGAGGTGAATCTTATGCTTCTTTCAGAAAATAATGTTCAATATTGATTTGATTCTTTCTTTTCTCTCTTGTGTATCGTTCATTTTCACATATATTACAATTAAAAATTTCCAAAATCCACTGTAAAAATAAGAAAAGACCTCAATACAGGATTAGGCTTATTAGCTCCTCAACAAAAAATATCACTATCGATATTTCGACGTTTATCTAAAACAAAATCTTTAAAGAAAACGTAAAAAATTAGTAACAAAAACAATTTCTCACGCGCTACTTTAGAGCGTCGAGAGTAGACACACACCAAGACAAAGTTTGGCCATGAGGGCACATGCAGCTCATGTTTGGCTTCCCTTAGTATGGGCTTTGCTTCCTTATTTGGGCTTATGTTTCCCGTTTGTGGGCTTTGTTTCCCGTGTGTGTGGACTTTGTTTCCCAAAAGTGGGCTTCTGTTTTGTATCAGTTTCTAATAAAATTTCCAGATGAAAAAAAAAAAAAAGACTTATTCAGTCTCTCCGCATGTGCTCTGAAGCTTGCGCGTGGGCAAAGGTCTAAACTCTCAATAGTTATTGGAGTTTATAAATCTTCTTTATCCTTTTGCGTAGAGAGAGCTTTTGTTATCAATCAAAGTCAAAACAGATCGCTCCTCCTATTATTATTTTTTATAATTATTCGCAAATTCACGAAAAATTGATCCCTGAAAAAAAATCGGATACTGGAATCATGGGAATCACCGGAAGTCTAACTCCAGATCAGCTCGAGCTTTTCCACTCTCAAGGTTTCTATGAAATTTCAGTCCTAACTCGAATTGTTTTTTTTTGCTTTTGTTGAGATAGAGTGAAGAAGTTAACAATTTTGCATTATAATGAAAAAAAGGGTATTTGGTAATCGAATCTTTCGCGAGTGAGGATGAAATTCGAAGCTTGAGGAAGAGGATGGCTGAGTTGCTGAATCAATTTGATTGCTCCGTCTCCTCAATCTTCTCCACTAAAAATCAGGTTCGTTTTTTCTTTCTACTAAGATTTTTGATTTCTGATTAATTTAGTTAATCTGATGTGAATTTGATGTATTATTACGCAGAAGCACACGACCGATAAGTACTTCTTTGAGAGCGCTGAAAAAATCTCCTTCTTCTTTGAAGGTATCCTCTTAAATCTCTAAATCTTTCGTCAGTTTCAACTTTTACATTAATCAGTTTGAATTGGTAACTATAGAATATGAATCTTGATGAAAGTTACGGCACTTGTTTTGATGTAGACGTGTAGGAAACAATAATAATCACTCCTTCGTAGTGAACTTTAATTTACTAAATTTAATACTCCCTAGTGGTCATTTAGCTGATATCATCTTCTTCTTTTTTGCTACAATCTAAGAAAAAGCTTTTGGAGACGATGGGGAACTGAAGCAACCGAAAGAGCTTTCTATAAACAAAGTTGGCCATGGTAATTTTTTTTCAATATTTTATGAGTTTGCTTCTTTTACTACAAAGTTTTGTTATTAGTGTTTGGTAGAGAAATACATAACAAAAAGAGTGTTAATAATGTTGTTGTTGGTTGCAGCATTACATGAGCTTGACCCATTGTATAAAGAATTCACATATTCTTCCAAGATTTCAAGTTTGATACTATCCTTAGGTTATAGGAGACCTGTCATCATGCAGTCCATGTACATTTTCAAGGTACTTATGAACAACATTAGTATTAGTGTTTGTAGTTATGTTTAAACTTTCAAAACCTATAACATGGTGTTGTTACTTTTTATATAGCAACCTGGAATCGGAGGAGAAGTTGTGCCACACCAAGATAATTCTTTTGTGTACACGGATCCAACGAGCTGTACAGGTCTCTGGATGGCTTTAGAAGATTCTACAACTGTTAATGGTTGTCTTTGGGCTATTCCTGGATCTCACAAGAGTAAGTGTTCTTTGTGATCATCATAGTTTCACTTAACTAAACATTATTTTTCTTCTTCTTCTTCTTCTTCTTGACTCTGCTTTTTGTGTTCAGATGGTCTGGTTAGAAGGTTTATCCGAGGTGAAAAGGGTGTAACCTTTGATCGTCCATCACCATCTTACCAACAGAAAGATTTTGTGCCTATTGAGATGAAAGCTGGCTCCATCATTGCCATTCATGGTGATCTTATACATCAAAGGTAATCATAATATATCTTGTATTGCTTGTATTAGCTTAAGATTTGGCTGAGCTCTGAAGAAAACTGATCACAATGTGGATATTGTGGGATGCAGTTTTGAGAATCTGTCCTCCAAGTCGAGACATGCCTATAGCTTACATGTAGTAGAAACTGATGGATGTAAATGGGCACAAGACAATTGGTAAGTCCTTTTACTCTTTTTGAGTGTCTGTTCTTCGTTCTTTAGCCATGGAATGTTTACAATTCAAATTAATATGATACAGGATACAAAGAGAGAAAATGCCGGAGCCTCACTTTGTTCTTCCCTAATTTCTCAAGCCTGTCGCGGGAAAAGAAAAAAAAACCACGAGTTGCTGTTTTTCAAATTTCTTCTACACACGAACAGTAATAAGAACATGGCTAAAAATGTCTCTTCTTGTGTCATTTTCTTGTTGAAATACGATTTCTTTCTGCTTGGTCAGTGTAGTTCTTTCTTTACTTAAACTAAACTCAGTGGTCAATAAAGTGTAGCAATGATTATTACTTGATTGTTTCTGTTATTATGGTTTTAAATTCACAGTAATTAGACAATGAAGAAAGTGTTAAGAGAAAGTTAAGACCCATAAACAGTTAAAAGGTAGAAGAAAGTTTGAGATGTTTGAAATGTTTAATGTGATGGGAGGAATGGGACAAAACTATCTCTGTCCTATTGTAGTAAAACAATATACAGTGAATTAAAGAGTTATGGTCAGTAGTGATAAATGCTTTGTGTAGTTGTCCTTAAGAATTGTATTGTTCAAAGGCAAATACCATTATACATTTATGTTCTAAACAGGTTAAAAGATTGGGTTCATGTTCTGTTTCTGGTATCTCTCAGGATTTGCAGTAGAATCCTCAGGAACTATAGACATAATTAACACGTTTTGGAGTCATGTAAATAAGACCCTTTTACATGGATCTATAATTAATTTAGTAGAGAACATGGCAAGTCACACAAGCAGTTTGTGAAGAGACTATGCAAAAACAAAGATAAATGTGAGCTTAGAAACCGAGTCGCAGCATTTGCTATGCAGTATGAGATGCCTGCTTCTCAGATTTGAATTGAGTTTCTATCTTGTAAATTAGAGTATGTATATATGGATATATATATACTTTTATATTGGGATTATTTGCTATATTTTCTTCATTGTAATTATGTAGACTTTTTGAATAGGTGAGGTCAATCTATAGACATGCTACTAAATAGTTGCTACTCTCTTGGTTAAAAAGGTTTCTTATATTTGATTTTTTTTTGAAACTTTATCATTTACGTGTGAACTTAGTAAGAGCATCTCCAAATTCCAATAGTTATTAGAAGTTACAACATGAACTTTAGAAGAGTTTCTTAAAAAATAAATATTAATATTTTAATACAATCTAGTTATGTAATTATTTAAAACAAAATAACAAAGAGACAAGTGTCTCATGGTTTTCTCTCTCTTGTAGATCAAATTTCAATTTTTTTATATCAAAAACCAGTTATGGATTGGAGTTTATGTTAACCTTCGCCGGTTCTTATTTTCCACTGTGCTGGTTGGTCTTTGAAGTGGCTCCTTTTGCATGAATCTTCTCTCTTATTCTCCGTTTGAAGATTACCTTATCCATTTTTTTTTTGATAAAGGAAGAGTACCTTATCCATTATGTGATCAATATTTGTAATTTCTTAATCAAATTTTTGAAACTTAGCAATGAGACAAGTGATGGTTTGCTTATAGAACGGAGGTTGCTGCTGGCTAGCTAGAACGTAAATTAGAGAAGGGTACACACACACGGAACTTAAACCTCCAGGCTCCAACCAATTTCATGCATTCACAAAGATTAAAAAGGACTAAAAAAAATTGAACGGTACGTAAAATGTAATCGTTTGGTTGAATTAAAAAAATGCACAGAAACTATAATTAAGGAACATATATTCTCACGCAGACATGTACAGGTGCATATCGTGTAAAAGCTATATACGTACTCTACTTAATACTTATATAAGAGAAATAAATGATGCCGTAAATTAAACATGAAGTTTCTATAAATAAAATAAAATAAAAAAAATCGTAAGGGATAGTTTTGATGAAATGTAATTTTTTTTAAATCAGAAACAAGACAGCGAGGTGGAGAATGATTGATTAAATTGAATGCAAATATACGTAAGGAGTTTACTTCATTAATCTCCATGCAAGTCCCATGTATAAGATTAGAGGCTGAATGATTCTATTAGATAACATGATTACAATATATATAGAATTCTTAGAGAGTGATTAGGAATTTGATATTTACTAAACTAGCCTTTACATATCTATATACTCTACATGCCCCCTCAAGATAGAGGAAACTCTTTTACTCCAATCTTGCTAAAAAGTTCCAAGAATCTTGGTCGTGGTAGTGCCTTTGTGAGAGCGTCGGCCAATTGGTCTTTGGTGGAGAGATGCGTCACTCGTAAGGCACCTGACTGGACATTGTCGCGAATAAAGTGATAGTTTAATGCCAAGTGCTTCATCCGTGAATGGAAAACAGGATTTGCACAGAGGTATGTAACGCCAACGTTATCGCAATAGATGACCAGTACTGATGGTAACGTGATGCCGAGTTCCGTCAGTAGTGAGCAGATCCATCTGATCTCAGCAGCGGTGTTGGCGACTCCACGATACTCGGACTCAGTAGATGAACGAGCAACACCTTTTTGCTTCTTAGAAGACCAGGCAATTGGTGTGCTTCCGAGAAACAGAATGTATGCATTGGTGGAGACATAATCATGAGTGTCGGGACTATCAGCGCGGAAGTAGATACCGTGAGACGGAGTGCCTGCAAGGTAACGGAGGACGCGTTTGGCGGCTTGCCAATGTACATCGGTGGGCCGATGCATGAACTGAGAGAGTTTGTTGACAGCGAAAGCAATGTCCGGTCGTGTGAAGGCCAAATACTGCAGCTACCAACCACCATCCTATATTCGCGAGGTTCAGGGAGAGGCGTACCAGTTGCCAATGTGAGCTTTGGAGTTGGAGCGAGAGGTGTAGACACAGGTTTAGCGTCAAGCATTTTGGTCTTGGCGAGCAAGTCGATGATGTACTTCTTCTGCATCAGGTGGAGTCCGTGTGGGCTCCGAATAGCTTCAATCCCAAGGAAGTAGCTCAAGTCGGTTGGTTCTTTGAGTGAGAAGCGGGCAGAGAGCGTGTCTATGACCTTCGTGATGAGAGGTTGACTGCTACTTGTGACAATTATGTCATCAACATAGACAAGGATATAGAATTTCGTACCGTTGTGGATCCGTGTGAAGACAGATGTGTCAGCTAGGGAATTGCAAAACCCAATAGAAAGAAGAAAGCTCTTGAGTTCTTCATACCAGGCCCGAGGCGCCTGTTTAAGTCCATACAAGGCCTTGCGGAGACGACAAACGTGATCTGGTCGGTCTTTGTCAACAAAACCAGGTGGCTGTGCGACATAAACTTCATCGGTGAGAGTTCCTTGCAAGAAGGCGTTATTAACGTCAAGTTGCTTGATAGGCCAGGCGTTGCTAACTGCAAGTTGTAAAACCACACGAATTGTATCCGATTTCACCACTGGACTAAAAGTCTCTGCGTAATCAATCCCTTGTTGCTGTGTAAAACCTCTGGCCACAAAGCGAGCCTTATACCTGTCTAAAACACCAGTGGGAAGATATTTAAGTGTGTAAATCCACTTGGTATCAATTACATGTTGACTCGGGTCCGGAGGAACCAAATCGAAGGTTCGATTTCGAACTTAGAGCGTTGAACTCATCTCCCATAGCGTTTCTCCATCGAGGATCTCGCAAGGCTTGGTTGACTGTTGTGGGAATAAAGGGTGTAGTGGTTCTTTTGGTGAGGAGGCTAAACTTGTGATTTAGTTTGGTGATGTTGTTTTTAGCTCTAGTAGTCATAGGATGGGCATTTTCGATCGGAGGTGGTGGTTGTTCCGACGCGGCGGAGGAGGAAGAGGAAGTCGGGGAAGGATTTGGTGATATGATGGGCTCAGAAGTTTCATGAGAGGGTGAAGATGCTATTGGGCTTAGGTCATTTTCGTTGGTGGGAATTGGGAGAGGGGAAGTTTGGTTATTGTGAGAGGTAGGTGTCGTGGGCCCAGATGATGGGCTTTGGGATTCATCAAGGCCCATATCAGAGTTGTGAATGTTACCTGGTGACGGTGGAGTGTCCGACGACGACGACGATGACTGGTGAGAACTTGAGCGCGAGGACGACGACTCCGGCAAGGACTGCGGAGGAGCTGGAGCGAGTGGCGGTGGTCGGTGAGTGAGGATTGTGGCTGGGGCGTGAGCAATTGGAGAGTCGGTGGGTGAATTCGGAGTTGGATTTTCAGAGGCGGAGAAGGGAAACGTCGTTTCGTCAAAAGTCACATGGCGAGAGGTGTAGATCCGGCCGGTAGCTTAATCGAGACATAGGTATGCACTATGGGTCAAGGAGTATCCGATGAAGACGCAGTGGATGGAACGATCCTCCAGCTTGTGTTTTGTGTATGGTCTCAACCATGGAAAGCAAGAGCACCCAAAAACTCGAAGTTTCAGGTAATTGGGTTGTTGTTGAAAAAGCTTATGGTATGGAGATTCGTTTCCGAGGACGGCAGTTGGTAAGCGATTGATTAAGTAGACCGCCGTGGAGAACGCGAACGGCCAGTAGCTCTTTGGCATTTTGGAGTTGCCGAGGAGAGTCAAGCCCGTTTCAACAATGTGACGGTGCTTTCTCTCGGAGATGCCGTTGTGTTCGGGAGTGTGTGGCGGTGAGGTGAGATGGGAAATGCCGTGTGCTGTCAGGAATTGGCGTAGGCCAATGAACTCGCCACCGTTATCAGAGTACAAAGTTCGGATTTTTGTTTGGAATTTTGTCTCGACGAGAGCCTTGAACGCGATGAACACCTCACGGACTTGTGACTTCTGCTTCAACGGATAAAGCCAGGTATATCGGGTATAGTGGTCGACATTTACAAGATAATATTTGTAATTGTCAACTGAAAGTAGGGGAGAAGACCAGACATCGCTATAGAGATATTCAAGTGGATGGTTTGAGGTTATAGTGTTTGTGGAAAAAGGGAGTTTATGAGTTTTATTGATTAGGCAATCGGAACAAGCAAATTGTTTTTGTAACAAAGAAAGAGGCAGATGAAACTGAGCAACAAGAGTTTGTAAAATTAAAGGAGAAGGGTGGCCAAGTCTTGAATGCCACGAACTGAGATCTGTTTTAGGTGTAGGTGAGGCCGCAAGAGAGAAGATGGGTTTGGGTGTAACCGGCCACTCGTACAGCTCATCTTTAGTCTTGCCTTGGAGCAATCGGGCCCCCGTGCTGAGGTCCTTCACCTGAAACGAAGCCGGGAAGAATTCCACAGACACACGGTTAGCATTACACAAACGATAAACGGAAATTAGGTTCTTTTTGAGGTCGGGAACATAGAGAACATCAGTAAGTGTTAAAGGTTTAGATAGAGTAGGAAGTTGGCTTGAACCAGTATGCGAGATATGGAGATTTGTACCGTCGGCTATGGTGACCTCCTCGCCACCAAGATACGGCTGATGGAGCGATAAGTTGCTCAGGTCCGTGGTCAAGTGGTGAGTGGCACCACTGTCCATCACCCAATTGTTGGCGTTGTATGTCGGGGTAGATGCCAAGTTCGCTCGCGGCTGCCATGGAGCAGAGGTTGGTTGTTGTGGGCGTGGCTGAGTTCCAAGAAATCCACCGGAGAGGTTAATTTGGGAGCAACGCCTTGCACTGTGGCCGTGTACGCCACAAATCTGACACCTTCCTTGGTATCCCCGTGGAGGATAGTTGTCTTGGTGAGGTTGAAACTGCTGCTGTTGTTGCCAAGTTTGGTTCCCACGGTTGTTGTTGGAATGGTTCTGCCTGCGGAAGTTATTGTTGTTGTTGGAGCCACGGTGAGTCGCAACGTTGGCCGAGACTGGAGTAGAGGATGATGGCATAAGTGCGGTTTGTAACTTGGCTTCGTGATTGATCAGCTTCTCGTGAATCTCAGTAAGAGATGGTGGAGAATCACGTCCCTCAATTTGATCAACCACAGTTTTGTATTCTTCCGGAAGACCCTGGAGAAGGTACTCAATTTGATCTTCCAGATCCATAGCTTTGCCGAGAAGAGCTAGTTGGTCGAAGCGAGTTGTGAGCCCTTGAAAGTAATCGTTGATGGACTTGTTACCTTTAGTCCATTGGTTGATCTGAAGTTTTAGTTGTTTGAAGTGACCTCTGCTTGGTTTTGCGTAGGTCGAGGAGAGCGTGGTCCAGATCTCCGCAGCAGTGGTGGTAGTGGAGAGCAGCGACTGAACGGAGGGTGTAATGGCACCAAGAAGAGCGCTGTAGATCAGGCGGTCTTGGCGTTTCCAAACCGTGTAGTTTGGATTGACCGAGACAATGTTGTCTGCAGTGAGAGTTGGTGACGGGATCTCTGTGGATCCGTCGAGATAGCCGAATAGTTCGTATCCGTCAAAGAGAGCGTGGACCTGCCTGCTCCACATGAGGAAATTGGAAGCCGTGAGCTTGGTTACGTTGGTCATGTTGACATGAACAAGCGCAACAGAGTCAGAGACTGCAATAGTTTCACTAGCCGCTGGGGAAGTAGACATGGTGTCGAGAAAAGTGAAGAGGGAGAGGTGAGGAGATTTGAAAAAGAGAGGAGGCGGCTGTATTTAGAATTAGGTATCGCTATGCTCTGATGCCATATAAGATTAGAGGCTGAATGATTCTATTAGATAACATGATTACAATATATATAGGACTCTTAGAGAGTGATTAGGGATTTGATATTTACTAAACTAGCCTTTACATATCTATATACTCTACACCATGCACTCAAACCCTTCTATATAAACCCTCCAAGTTCATCATTTAATCATCATCAAATCAACATCGGTCTATAAGCCCATCAAAGAAACCATAGATCTCTCATCCATGACAATTCCAAAAGCTCTCTACTCTTTAGCCATCCTTACCGTTCTCTTTGTGGTTTCGAGTAGTCAAACTGTCTGCAATCCAGAATGCAAGGCAAAAGAACCCTTCAACTGTGATGATGTTCTTACATTCAACCGATCTGGATTTGCAAAGAATTTCACTTTTGGTGCAGCTACCTCTGCATACCAGGTACATACATATATCTTTGTGGCCTTCGGGTATCGATTCATAACAGTAGCAATATTTGTCAAGTTCATTACTCCCTCCGTTTCAAAATAGTTGTCGTTTGCATAAATGTATATGAAATATATATATGGATGTATTTAACTCAAAAACACATCCAAATATATTGTATATACATTTTCTGACAACTATTTTGAAAGAGAGGAAATATTATTTACAAAATAGAATAATTGATTCTATTTAATTTGTTCTCCCAGATTGAAGGTGCTGCGTATAGAGCATTCAATGGATGGGACTACTACACTAATAGATATCCAGGTCATTACATCATTTACGTAGTACTGTATTTTTAATTAATATAGGAAGAACTAGTCATGCTCATATATTGGGTTTGTTACATACAGAAAAAGTTCAGGAGTTCAGGAGACCTTGCTTGTGATTCCTATCATCTTTACAAGGTGAGAGGCTGGAATATATCAATAATTATGTGTATTATGTTCCATTTAAAATCATGTAAACGTAATTTAACTTTCATATAACGTGAACAGGAGGATGTTGCACTACTAGTAAAACTCAAGGCTCAAGCATACCCGATTCTCAATAGCATGGTTAAGGGTCTTACCAAGTAAGTACATATATATAGAACCGGCGCTTGTGGTCCGGTGGTAAAGGACCCTCAGCTGAGGTACCTGCCACCTGGGTTCGAGTCCCAGCCACAACGGATTTAACATCCCTTCTGTTGGGGCACTGGACCCCACTTGTGGGGATAGTCGGGAATGTGGCTGCCCAAATACCAGAGTTATCAAAAAAAAAAAGTACATATATATAGACCTATATATCTCGGTCTTTTCTTCATCTCTTCATCTAATTAATTAACAAAAGAATCGCTTTATATACACAGTTGTGCTAGTTAACTAATTTGTGATTATATACTAATCTTAGAGGGAAGAGGAAGAGTGGACGAGAATGGTATTTCATACTACAACAATTTCATCAACGAGTTAGTAAAGGATGGTAAATTCCGAATTCTTAATAATACTTAGTTCATACGGTTTTAATCATAATTAATTAACTTGCATGAATACGATTCACAGGCATTGAACCATATGTCACTATATTTCATTGGGACATGCCTCAAACTTTAGAAGGCGAATACAGAGGCTTCCTAGATAAACGTATAGTGTAAGTCCATTAGATAATTTATACTATTAAAATGGAAGCAATCAAGGGTGCATGCTAGAATTATTCCTGTCACCAAACAGAAATTATCCCAGTTATCCGAATTTTTCAGAATAACCCAGAAGGAAACTGGGTCGGATTCTGTAAAAAGACCATTTACCCCCACGTTTTTCAAAGGAGAATTTTTTGGAGTGAGGTCATTTCTGTCCAGAACACATTTCGGACTTGCTGTTTGGAAACAGGTAGCAGAAGAAAAAGTGTCGAAAGTGTCAAAAGGGGACAGACATCGGATCTTCGACCGACCCGCAAAAAAAACACGCGGATCTAAGCCACACTTAAATCGAAAACCGATTTCGAATATCCAAACTGGCAACCACAAAACCGAAGCTGAACATTGAAAGATTTTCTTGTTTCAGGATCCAGAATTTCACGTTTACGAAATCTTTTCAAATCATTCAAAATCCCAAGTAAAGAAAACATACCTAAGAACAGGGTCCTAATAACTACCTATACAAAAGAATTCCTTCATCCTCGGGACATATCAATAAGAGATATCCCATAACATGCTCCTGCAGTTAATAAAATATATACGAAATAAAACGAGATATCACTTCAGATATTATTACATTGATAAACTAATAGATTAGGGAAATCTTTCCAACCTCAACAGATTTGTAATCCAAGAGAATATGCCGTGGGCAGCAATTCTGAAACCTCCGAAGCCCTAGGCATAAGATACAACTCCAAACATTATAAATATGTAGCCTTTGTCACATTAAAGGTCATCAAACATCAAACACATCTATTTTACCTCCTCCTCGCAAAAATGACTATTGGATGCGCCTTCGCCAAGCTTGCTGATGTCCGACCTTTCAAGACAACATGGAAGGTCCGCGTTAAGGTGATTCACTCCTGGAGGCAGTACAGCGGCATGTCCGGCGAAACGATGGATCTGGTTCTCGCTGATGAACATGTAAGTTTAAAACCTATATGTAAATTTCAATGCTAATCGTATGTTTCAGTTTGCGTTATAATGACAAGTCTATACTTATATTTCCAGGGTACTAAAATGCATGCTGGAATTAAGAAGAAGGATATAGGCCGGTTATCAAAGCTTCTGGTCGTTGGTGAATGGAAAGTGTTGGAGAACTTTCAGGTATCTCCTGCAACCGGGCTATTTCGACCAACTCCAAGCAACTGGAAGATTGGGTTGTCCATGAACACAATCGTTACCACATGCAGCATCAAAGTGGACGACATGTTCCTTTCGTTGGTACCTATCCAGACGATCCTAGATGGTGATTTGAATCACAATTTCTTGATTGGTAAGTAATCTATCCGTGCTTACAATCTACATCTGATGTATACTATTAAATTGCTGACTTGAAATGAGAACTTACATATTCAATCGGGAACTTGTGTACATGTTTTCCAGATGTCATTGGACAGGTTCTTGATGTGAGTGAGATCAAAACTGTTCCTGTACTTGGGAGAGAAAAGCGGAAGCTAGAGTGCGTGCTTAGGGACATTAAGTAAGTATATACACTTATCATCAGTTCAATCTGTGGTTATATTCCTATATCTAAGTATTTTCTTAATAAATTTTGCAGTGATCAGAGAATCAACTGCTGTCTTTGGGCGGGATACGCTGACCAACTGTACGAGGCATGCAGTAAAGCTAATGGGAAAACATTAATTTGTTTGATCAGATTTGCGAAACTCAACTTTTATCAAGGCAAGCTTATACATCAACTATATATCAACCTGATTGCAACCAAATCAACTTCGTTTAAACATTTTTGAGATATGAAACATTTCTATTAGGTGATATGCAAGTAACTAATGCTTTTGACGCATCTAAGCTTATCATCAACCCTATTTGCGAAGAAGCAGATGCTTTCAGGATTGGGTTAGTAATATGTCTAAACTATATTTTTGCTATGTTTTAATTTACACAATATAGAAGAAGAAAACTAACCTTCTGTACTTGATGCCTTCAGCTTGCCAGATGACGGTGCGATTGTTGTCATCCAAGAGGATGATGAAGAGGCTGAGAAGCAAAGGATAAAGGAGCAGGAAGATGCGTGGCTGGCGTTGGAAATGAAATCTGTGTATGACATTCAGAATGCTACTGAGGTAAACACATTCATATGTAAGACAAATAGATTGAACGATTTGATAGTGATTTACTTATCTAAAATAATGTAATACCTCGCAGATGAGAAATTCAGGATTTCTGTCAAAGTGACTGGAATTGATACCGACTGGGGTTGGTATTATTTCGGATGTGGAAAGTGCCAGTTCAGGGTCACCAAGGATCTGAAGAAGGAAGGAGCCACAAAACCTCGCCCCAAAGCACCCGTGTGGTACTGTGACAGATGCAAATCAAATGTCAAAACTGTTGAAGCAAAGTGAGTAGTTCCAAATTTTTTCAATGTTTTGGTTCATCAGTATAGATATAATAGTTGCCATTGTGATCACATGGAATATTTGCATATGCAGGTTCAAGTTGCACCTTCTGGTAGAGGATGACTCGGCCAAAACAAAGGTTATGCTTCTTGATTCCGTTGCTTATGGCATCGTGGATAAAACAGCTTCCTTCCTGCTAAACGGATCATACGATGAGGTAATATCATTATCAGAAGCTGCATAATATTTCCTGTTATACTAGCTCACGTTTTAACGAGATGCCTATTTATTATGAAAAAAACAGATTCAGGATCCAGAATTAATACCCGATGACGTCAAGAGTTTAGTTGGAAAAAGTTTCGAGTTTCTGGTCGGTGTCGAGAAGGAACACATTGTGTATGGAAATGACACCTACAAGGTGCATAAGGTAAAGAAAGGACTTCTCATTCTCGACACGGAATCTGGCGATGGACCATTCACTGCCATTGATAATGGTTCGACCATTGCATCTGGCGAGGAGGTTAGCACACTGATGCGGGATCAGGTTTTACCTATTCCTATCCCTGATTCTGCAAGTGCATATCAGATGTAGTAACGGGTTATCGAACACAAGGACCAGATAAGTTACACTATGAGTTTATGAGATTCGAATCAAGCTAAGACTCAAGTATGGAGGTTTGTTGTTGTCACGGTTTCAAAGCAAAACAAAGTAAATAAGTGAAAGCAATAGAAGAAAGCATTGGGCATTAGAGGATTCGCAAGGTTTCATAGATTGGATCAAGCAAATAGATAGGGAAATCAATAGTTTGTTCTAGAACTCGAATCAATAAGTATAATTGACCTACTCCCGCAGTGCCAATTACTATGTCTAACAACCTAAATCACACAACTTCCGCAGGTAATCAAGAGGTTAAGCATGTAAGAACAGTCCAAATTCGATAGATCTACTTCCGTAGGTCTAGTTCACAAAGCCTAGCAATTCTACTTCCGTAGGTTACTATGCCTTGCTCATCTAAGTTGATTCAAGAGATTTAACAAACGGTCAGAAAGTAAATCTACTTAACAACAGTAGCTTAGACGGTCAATCAAGCTATAAGCAATAAGCACAAACTTAGATGAAGAACACTAATGATAAAACCCTAATCTAGCAACCTAACAATCAATCCATGAAAACCCTTTGAAAACTCTTAAACCCAACAAGGAGATTACTCAAGCATAGTAAGACAGATCAAGCATAGAGATGAAGAAGAATTCATAATAAAACTTGATAGAAAGTAAAAGGGTTTAGAAATCTCCTCTATAGTGTTACAAAGGTGAGATCTTCTCCCATGAAGCTCTAAAACGAAATCAAAGTAAAAACTCTCTAAAATAATGCGGCTCTCTTCTAAAGAGGCTAAAAAAGTGTATTTATAGTGCCCTAGGTCTTCACAAGTCGGTTTAGGTTAATTGGGCTGAGAAAGTCAAAACTGCATAAGTGGGCTTCTTGTTCGCGGAGATCGGGTCGAGCGCGGTCCTTTGCTTCCCGGGTCCGGTCTGGTCGGCCGTGATGTGATGATCTCGGTCGATCGTGGTCCATTGCCTCCCGGGTCGGACGGTGCGGTCGTGCGGCCGGATCGGTCCTGGAGAAGGCCGAGCGAAGCCAATACCCTTCCTGTCCGGCCGAGTGCGTTCGGCCGGCTGTGGACCAGTCTTCAGTACAAACGTGATATCTCCTAAACGGCTTATCCAAATTGCATACTTCCAACGGCATTAGAACAATAACTCATCTGGCTATCTTGGTGTTGAGTTTCATTGAAATCCATTGAGTTTAAGGGTCTAATCCGCTGCTGCTCGTCTGATGTACTGATGCAGTCCGATAAATCTCCTCGGTATATGTCTCAGGGAAATAGAGATATCTCCCAATCTACTCGGTCAAATTGATTGATTTCAGTTGCATTGCAAAGCTAACTCCTGTATTCATCTCCTCGAACTGGATTTGATGAATTCCATTGAGTAGATAGTTTTTAAGGCCCTTCTTAAGTTGATGCTACCTCCTGGAGCG